ATACAATACCGTGCCAAATAACCCTAACCTGTCTAGTTAAACTAATTTACCCAATTAAACCTGTAAATGTCACTTTAAGCTGTATAGACGTGTCTTGAAAAATATCTAGTCAAATATTATTTACTGTCATCATGGCATTATATATATGTTCATTCATTTTCTTGTTGGCTTAATCCCTTTATTAATAGGGGGTCGCCACAGCGGAATAAACCGCTGACTTATTCAGCAAGTCTTTTAAGCAGGGGATGCCCTTCCAGCTGCACCCTCTGGGAAACATATACATATATATATGTAAACGAAGAACGAATGAGAAATGCCAACTAAGCTGAGGCTCGAACTATATATACACACACACACACAAACACACACACACACACACACACACACACACACACACACACACACACACACACACACATTTATATAATATAAATATATAGACACACACACACACACACACACACATACATGCATGTAATATGACCGTGTTTATGATCAGGTGATGTGGAATTATTCTTCTGTTTTATCCACACCAGGATCTTCACAGAGAGGTTTTGGACGCCATTCCGGATCAGCCTTCCCAGCATGCACCTCTAGTGTTCAAGAAGAAGAAGCCCATCCCTCTGAAGCTCTTCACACCCAAGATCGTGCAGATGTGAGTCAAACACACACTACAGTACACACACAGACACACACACTAGAGTCTAGAAGGGATACAGCTGTGGATATGCACATCATTATAGACGCATATTTCTGAACTGACTTGTTGTTTTCTTTTTTCTTTTATTGATTGGTTTTGTCTTCAGTGTTTGTTCAAATTATTGTTTTATTTTCGCCACTCAAAGTTTTACACAAGGGTAAATGTAAGCTGTGCAAACACTAATCTGCTAAACAGAAATGTGTTCACAAAATAGTATATATAAAAGAGTAGTCTATAAGAGTAGTATATATTACAGTGGCATATAAAAATAGTATATATTATAGAATATATAAAAAGAGTAGTGTGTATATATAAGAGTAGTATATATCAAAGAGTACTATATATAAAAAGAAAACTGTATATAAAAAAGTATAATATATAAAATACTATATATGAAGAGAAGTATATATAATAGTATATAAAATAATATATATAAAAGTATAAAACATTGTGTATATGTATAAAAGTAGTATATATAAAAGTATATAAAAATAGTATATATAAAAATAATATGTATAAAAAGTAAATTATATAAAAGTATTTAAAAATAGTATATATAAGAAAGTACATATAAAATAGCCGAGTGGTTTGTGTCGACATATAGCACAGCAGCGACTCAAGTTCAATTCCTGGCTCGAGGTCTTTTAAAAGTATATAAAGAGAGTAGTGTATAGAAATAGTATATATGAAGCGTAATTTATTAAGAGAGTAGTATATAGAAATATTATATAAAATAGTAGTATATAAAAAGAGTAGTATATATAAATAGTATGTAAATAATATATAAATAGTATATAATAATAGTACTATATAATCATATTAATGTATAGTGTAGTATATGAATATATATATATATATATATAGAGAGAGAGAGAGAGAGAGAGAGAGAGAGTAGTATATAGATAAAGTAGTCTATAATATAGAAATAATATATATATATATATAT